TCAGGTGTAACACTACCCTACAGATGGGAATCAGAAAATCAAGTGGACAGAGAAGTAGATGAAGTAACAGTCAAAGAAAAGGAAAAAGAAGAGCAAGGGAGAAAAAAAGATAACCTTTATTAGAATTCACCTTTAAAATGGTGTTCTCTGTTGGTTTTTCCCCTCCCGTATCTTTTAAAAGTTAAACACTGTCTTATTTGTTGTAAATATAAAACTCACACTGGTTTCAAGTTTCCAAGTCTGGATCCAGCACAAAACAGTTTACAGAATGGCTGTGATGAAGACTGTTACAAAACATCTTTACGAAAGATGTTTCATCTTTAAAGAAAGGTCTTTATAGATACTTTATAGAGTGATTAGTGTATAGTCTGCTGAAAGAGCTATTCCCATATAAAAATATTTCTCAATATTGATTTTACATTATAAATATGATAGTGGCTATTATCACTAAAAAGTCAGCACACAGTAAAAAGAATATATATTGAGGTAGGGAAATACTTCATAAGGTCATAGTTACAAAGCAAATAGCTAGGAAATACTAAATTGTTAAATGTGCTGGTGTAATTTAATAAAATTACATATATGAAAACTACATGTGCGTTACCCAAAGTTACTTCCGTATCCTGCCTCACCATCCAATTTTTTTTTTATATCACTTCTATGAAAAACTCAGTTTGATGACTCAGATAAGCCTTTCCAGGCAGGCTGAGCCCAAATCTTCTCACCAAAATTTAATGTTTCCTTCATTTTGAAATTCAAGCAAAGGAGCATTTTTCACTTATCTCCTGTATTTCTGAATTGTACAGACCTAAAAGATGTTCACTCCAGTTTGACACTGCTCTTACAGCCAATTTTGGTCAGTGTAAGAATCTTTCATTGCTTTTCTGTTAAAATGTGAATTTTATTTCAACTTGCAACTTATAGAATGCAGTTAAAATATGCATCTACTGAAGGGAAATGGGAAAAGGCACATGCCTTTTAACCGGCTAAGAGGTTTTATTTTTGAAGACAGACGTATTTCATAGCTACCCAGACTTGAAGGCAGCCTTGCTCCTGCTCCACTGAGGAATGGCTAAATGGCTTGTGCTGTCTCTCAGGGGCAAAAACTTGCCCTGAAGGTCAAATCTGACTCATAGGCCACATATTTTATAGGCTTGCCTAACAATTTGCTCTACTTGACTTGTCTCAAAAGCAAACTTCATAACATTTTATGCAAACATTATACAACCTTAGTCTGAGCTGTAAATCAATAAAACTCACTTAAACTAGACCACTACGTCTATTCTGCAACTACTATTTCTACAACAGGAAATAGTCTCTTAGTTGAAATTCTGCTGTAGTTAACATTAGCATTGCTAAATCTTACAATTTTCTCTAAACAAGTGTCATAATATTTATAGGTTCAGATTAAAGTAAAAACATGCATATGCATATGCATACTGCATAGAATTTAGGGAAGTAGGTTTAAAAGTAAAATTTAAGCCTCTAATTTTCGTGGGTCCAGACATAAAACTCAGAATTTGAAAGCTCTTGTGTTAGAATGCCATGGGTTTGCATTTCACGATCACAAATTTCCAGAGCAGTCTCCATACAAAAACATGTTTCTCACATGGCAGAACACTACAGTTCGTGTAAAAATAGTTAAGGCTCAGGTGGCAAATAATTCATCATTCTCTTTTCAATATTTCTGGAGGCCTACTTATTAGTATAATAAGTTAACAAAACTGGTATTAGAAATAGCCTGAGTGACCACAACTGTTTGATATTTGAATGTTTTTCAAAGGGATCCTTTGGGTTTGGATCATGAAGATTTTTTTTTTTAAAGGGAAAACAAAAAACCACTACTACCACCACAACAACACGCAAATAGGTCATAGACTCCTGTTTTTCCTTGTCCTTTACAAAAATACCTTCAGGGAAAGGTACTTGTGGGTACTTTTACGCTGCAGACGTTACCAGAATGCAGAACAAGTAAGTAGTATTCAGACCTTTCTTTCCTCTGCATAGCTATTTAAAGAAGAAAAATGTTTAACCATAATTACTTAGCTAAGCCTTCTGTTGTGACCATGAGCCCCTCTTCATCTTTCACTTTTTTATCAGTAAATACAAAATTCAAAAAACTATTTTGACTCCCTAAATTTTGAGGAATCAATGTAACTATTTTGATGTACACACAATATACAGTACTACTTTTCAGCTGTATAAACTTACTCCAAGCGTTCCACACACATGACAGCAAATATAAAATAAAATCTAAAACGAGAAAAACTAAGAGAATTTTTGCCATGGTTTAAGTTCAAGACATTTTTGCCAGAAAACAGGTTCCTAATAGTACAACTTGCATGATGATACTTTCACGCACTTTGTAATTTGGTGTTTTATTTGCTAAAAATGGCTAACTGAATACCGTTACTACTGAAAATAGCAGACTGAAACCACACTGACTCATTGGTTTTGTAGTATAATATCTCACGTAGAACACAGTCAGAGTTTTATTACTCTTCCTCTTCAAAGAACCACTACAAATATATTGTACTTTTTCCCCTATACAAGGAACTAATCCAGCAAAGAATATAAATATTCTTTCCCATCTAGGCATAACAGCACATTAATTCTGAGACAGTACCAATACAACAAAGGAAAATATTCTGAAATTAAGATACAATTTACTTCAGGCTCAAACACAGCAAGCACAGTAATCTTTACGTTACTTGAAGAATTTCACCTCTGTCTGGTACTGATGATTACTGCCATCCAAACTTCCTCAGCCTCAGACCATAAATTCAGATGATGTTCTGAGAGTCAGAAGTAAGGTAAAACAGAAAATGAAAGGCTCCAGGTAATTCTGGCTGCTAGTGATATGCAGAATACATGCATCTATCTTATGTTCATCTGGTGCAGTTTAAAGTTCTCACTGAAGTTTGACTACTGTTCTGTGAGTGGATCAACAATACCAAGAAGTTTATTTCTCTGCATGGAGTCACCACAGAGTGTACAAATTCCTCACCTATGGCAGCCCATCAGTAACTGCATTGCTTCAAAACATTCAACCGAGTCGAAGGGGAGAGGCTACATAGAAAACATCTGCATCCCACAGCAGCTCTGTTTACAAGTAAGGGACTACCAACTTCAGCGACACTTGGGTCGTTCCACAGGTGACTTCTGTAAACACCAAAGACCCAGTCTTAAACTCTGAAGACTGCAACTGTAAGGATACAGCTATCTGTGAAAATGCTTCTCTGCCCAGGAGAGGATTAAATGAAAATTAAATAAAAATGCTATGGTTGTGCAATAATGAGGTGTGAAATTCCTTGGATGTAAAATTGTCTCAGTTGAGAGGTTTGACCCCAG